TCAACCGCCGTCGTCATCATTCGCTCGTGAATCTTATCAATCAGCCTCGACGGAGAATCACAATTTTTTGAAGAATGTCTTCCAGCAAGAAGGTCTCTATCTGGTTGTTCGTGTCTGATAGTCTCTCCGCAGATTGCGCCCATTTCCTTCGGTGACGAGCCCGTGAACGCTGGAGACTTGGTCTCGGTGCAGTGCGTGGTCACCAAGGGCGACTCCCCTCTGGAGATTTCCTGGACCTTCGATAGCCAGCCTATAAGATCCGATCGAATGGACGTGATCGTATCGAACTCCGGGAAACGCGTGAAGCAACTGACCATTGAGTCCGTAGCTGCGAGACATGCCGGGGAGTACACCTGCGTTGCGTCGAATGCGGCTGGATCGACCTCGCACTCCGCTAAATTGGACGTCAACGGTACACCACTTCTCGGCGAAACATCGTTCCATGATTTAGACCCTGCACCGTTCTACCAGAGACATTCCACGTTCCCAACACACACCAATCAAATCCTTTTAATCCCTGATACATCCATATTGGCAGATTTCACTCGGCGTTTTTCTTCCGTTAGTTTTGATTCTGTTTCCTTATCGTCTCGGTTATATTTGCGACTTCTTGTTTTATGTTTCCTTCAGTTTCGGAAGGTGGTGCCCAGGAAATAAGCGAATCAGAGAACAGCGCGATTTCTCTCGTATCCTCGTGTCGCCGAGCATTCGTTCGTTTCAGTCCCTTCTGCTTTCTCTTTTCAGTAATTCCGAAATTATTGCCGTTTATGTTCGGCGAGAAACCGCTTAACTCCGGTCAAGTAGTAACGGTACCGTGCGCAGTGGTCGAGGGCGATCAACCCTTGAAGCTCCGCTGGACGTTAAACGGTTATCCGATTTCGCCCCACTCTGGAATCTCGATCGTGGATCTTGGCGGACGGGGCGCTATACTCAGCATAGGATCCGTCGAGGCAACGCACGCTGGAACGTACACGTGTATCGCGGAAAACCTTGCCGGAAGGCACGAGCTCTCGGCCGATCTGATTGTTAATGGTGCTTAATTGATCAATGCTCCAACTCGGAACGTCACAGTTATTGTATTGTCCCTTATCAGTTTGCCACCGTCCCGACCATCCCGTAGCATTCCTTGCTTGAGTAACGTTTGATCCCCCTTTTTATTCAGTGATATTCCTTTGGTTTCGATTATTTCCAGTTTTCGATCGGTTTTATCTCTGGATCGTGTCCTGTTTTAATTTTCAAAATCAGCCTTCCAGTCCACGTGAATTTGCTTTATCGTTACAACGGTTCGCTGATCATCAGTGATTTCGTCATGCCCCGAAGAATCGAGAGTTCCAGTCAGTTCGCTGTTTCGCTCGCGAGCATGGCGGTCTCGAAAGCGAGCTCGAGAACAACACCGTCGCACGCGAAATTTGCCGGCTGAAACGGCACGTTAAATCATCCCCGTTTAAATGAACCGTCTATTTAGCCTCCCGCTACTCCTGTATATCTGTGCCTGACTCTAGCAAGCCTGTCTGTCTCTATCTCTCGGCAGTCGCTCCGCATCTGCAGCCGTTCTCGTTCGACGAGGCCAACTCCGGCGATCTGATAATCGTCCATTGCGCGGTCGTAAAGGGGGACACGCCGATTTCGCTCAAGTGGTTGTTCGAGGGACGCCATTTAGAAGTAGGCGACGGAGTGGGTATCACCGCGTTGGGGGATAGAGTGTCCGCACTGACGATCCCCGCCGTCAGGGGAGAGCACGCCGGAGAGTACGCTTGCGTCGCCGATAATCCAGCCGGTCGTGCTAGGCACAGCGCCCATCTCAAAGTGAACGGTACAGAAACGTGATTAAATAAGTCATGCGCACACAAAAACATTCCTGGTTATACGGTATCAGTGAAATGCAAAAGACGGAAAGAACAGTAATCGACAAGACAAACGGACAAGCTCGAAATCGGCATGATGATGTATAGCCAAAGGCGTTTTACGGGTAGCCAAGCCAGAATTGAAGCAGTTGTGTTATGCGTGTTTACGTTACGTTACGTTGAGATCGGCCAAATGATGATGTTGTATTATTATATATTTGAATCGGTCTTGTTGCGGTCGTAGTTCGAAGTAGTAGTCGTAATATTGAGAGAACGAACGACGTCTCCAATGTCTGCTGTTGATTGTTGTAATAGCGTACATATATATGTACATATATATATACACATATATATTACATATATATTACATATATATATAAATATGTTTGGAAGGCTGCATCCGCTCGACTATCCATCTTTCTTTCTTACATATATATATATATATATATATATATACATATACATTATAATTATCCCCCCGCATCAATCGTTTGTTTCGAAGCATCATCGTTTAGGTAGGTCGCTCGGCCGAGTGTAGCTTTTGGACCACAGTCCCATCTCTCGTTATCCTTGGGCTACCATGATCAAAGGTAATTTGTCCGCAGTTCAGGACGAGCTCGACTCCCCACATTCTGAATCCGCCTTCAACCGTCTTCTCTTCTCTTCTCTTCTTGTTGTACACAGACACAGGACACAAAAATAAAAAGAACACTCGTCCACACTTGTACCGTCTTTCTCTTTGTGTATCTCTGTCTCTTTCTTTCTCTGTTTGCCTCTTTGTCTTTCTTTCTCATACTCTCTCTCTCTTCTTCTCGAATCCTTTCTCTCATCCTTCTCGGAGTATCGAATCTCATTAGCGAATGGAGAATCGTGGTGGATGAATCGTTCCGCATGGGACGCCGAGCCCAGTGATTCGAGACACTTCGTGACGAATAACAGGGACGGGTTGTAGTAGATTTTTCGTATCGAACAAGAGGAGTTCGCTGAGTCGAAAGGCGAGAATCGTGGGAGTTCCATGCGGCCGCGAAGGGAACCTACGTAATCGATGAGAGTCGGCGACGCTCTTGACTACGGGATCTCACCAGTCTACCATAAAGATCAGAGAAAGAAACCGTGCCTATCGTGGATCTAGCTAGAGCCTATCATTCCAGTCCTGCCACGGATCAGTCCGTTCGATTTCGGGGATCAGCCGATCTATGCTGGGCAGGCCGCCCAATTGGCGTGCATGGTGCTGCTCGGTGACACCCCCATCGATATTGCCTGGACCCACGAGGACAAGCCCCTGTCGCAATTCATGGGATACAGCGTCGGGAAACTCGGCCCACGGACGAGTATCTTGCTGATCGAGCCGGTCACGCCGGAGCACGCAGGACGTTACACTTGTATCGCGAGTAATCCGTCCGGGAAGGCGGTCCACGAGGCGACATTACGAGTTCACGGTTAGGGCCAGACTAATGGGAGCATTGAATGATTACTAATGGTTGAACTGATAATGATTGAACTGAGTCGGAATGATAAAGCAACCGCGGTATACCGGGCCCGTCAGAGTATTTGAATTGCAGGCTTGATTGATGCATCTTCGTCGTTGCCGAAGCTGTCGTGTTACCTTGCGGAAGCTTTCTGGATTTCAGTTCTCAGCGGATGAGTTCCATCGTACACAGTGCGTTGCTTTCGTCGCCGGGGACGACTCTCTTGCGCGCCGATCCTTATATATATTTATACATATATTATATAATATCTCACTCTCTTTTTCTGTTTATAGACTTTCATTCTCTCTCTTCTATCTTCCTCCCCTTCTTTTTTTTCTTCTTCTTCTTCTTCTTCTTCTTCTTCTTCTTCTTCTTCTTCTCTCTCACCCTCTTTCTCTCTGTTTATTGATCTGTACTCTGATGATTTCTGTATATATAATCTTGTCTATATATTTCTACCTTCCGTTTCTTTCGTGTCTCTCTATACGCCCTGTCTGGATTTCGCCTATGTTTTTTCAGCCGAATAGCAAACGCAAGAATTAATACGCCCAGAGTCCTACGTGTCCCCCACAGCCCTTGTACAGCAAGTTGGTTGAGCTTGAATCGCATTCGTATTTTGTGGCTAAGTATTTCGCCTCGTTTGATTTCCCTTGTCTGGTTGTTTACGCTCATCGTCGCTAAATCTCTTCGACGAACACACTCCGCTGGCATCCGAACATCATTTGGCCGCGACAAAGTAGACGCAGGTATCACATTGTTAGGATTACACTCCGTGTTCTCTTTGAATGCACGCGACTCGCGTCGTGTCGTCTCGCGTCGCAAAGTATCCTCCATGCGATCATCATTACTCTTCACCGTGTGAACAGTCTAGTCGTTGGATCGCCGCGGTCACTCGGCGAGAATTCTTTAGGTACTACGATCGAGCTGTGTCTCTCGTGATCACATTCGAGTGTCGATTTCTAATACCTCACCGTACCCCCGTCGCGCTACAACGTGTCCTTGTTCCAAGATGACCGACCGACCATCCAATCACCCTCTGAGAATCACCCTTTCGACCAACGTCTTTGTCACCACCAGACGAAAACCTGTTTCGACCTCACGCCTCGCCACCCCACCACCCTAAACCCAACCCTGTCACCTCCCTAACCTCTCACCACACGTCTCGCCTCGTTCATTTTGTGTAGATTGCATTCGTAGCGGTAGTCGATATTTTCTAACACGCATGTCTTCTTTCTTTCCTATTTAGACTAACCGTAGATCAATTTTCAAGCGGTGCAGCATGATGGACCGTGCTCGAGTATCATAGTAGCGTATCTCTTGCATGGGCGACGCGAGCTCCTTCAGAGCCGCAACCGCAGTCTCTTTATCTGCTTGACGACCTTCTTTCTTTCTGTTCGTGCAGTAGTTCACCCGCATAATCATCTCGAGTTCCCGCATGTCGAATTATCGCAGTGTTTGTAGCAGTTGCGGGAGAGAGTTGCGTTTCGCTCAGCATGCCGCGAAACCGATTGTCGTGGCTCCAGTCTCCTATCTTTGCCAGCGATAAATACGATTGTCTTGTCAAGTCGTTTTGTGTCCTGATGACATGTTTGAGACTGGAGTCCACGATGCGACTGGCTCCCGGCTAACTGTCGATTGGTAAAAGCGCCGGGAGAACGTTCCGATTAACCCGCTCATTCTGTAACAGTACCTCCCCGCTGGATTCTGGAACCTACCGATAAGGCATTTGCTCAGGGATCTGATGCACGAGTTGAATGCAAAGCCGACGGTTTCCCCAAGCCTCAAGTCACATGGAAAAGAGCTGCTGGTAAATATCTTGGATCTAATAACAGCTGGGTTGCAATTCAGCCATGGATGTTTCTAATGTTTGCTTTCACTTTTTAGGGGATACACCGGGTGATTACACGGACTTGAAACTTAGCAACCCTGACATTACCGTTGAGGATGGAACTCTTTCCATTAACAACATTCAGAAGACAAACGAGGGCTATTATCTTTGCGAGGCTGTAAACGGAATTGGTTCAGGACTTTCGGCTGTCATTCTCATCTCAGTTCAGGGTAAGTGTATCTAAATTTATTTGTTTCATCCGAAGCTATAACTGAATAATAAGGTTAAAAGTACACATCAAATTAAATCGACATAGAACTGTTAAAACTGTGTCAATATTAAACTCTCTAAGTATTTACATTAAATTTGAATTATAAGGATTTCTGCTATTTTCTCTATTTAATTGTAAAAAATTATAAATGCTAAAGAACTTGGTAATCTGATGGTTTTTCCTTGGCAAGCTGACAAGCAATCCGTTTTTCATCCATCTCAAAAGAATCTTTGAATCGTTTGTTCCTGTATCTTCTTCAGTGATAACATGAGAAAATGATTGTTTTAAATGTAGCACCACCCCACTTTGAGATTAAGTTGAAGAACCAAACTGCACGACGAGGAGAACCAGCTGTATTGCAATGCGAGGCACAAGGAGAGAAACCCATTGGCATTTTGTGGAACATGAATAACAAGAGATTGGACCCGAAGAGCGATTCCCGTTACACCATCCGAGAGGAAATCCTGGCTAATGGAGTACTGTCTGACCTCAGCATCAAGAGAACCGAGAGAAGCGACTCTGCTATGTTCACCTGTGTTGCCACCAATGCTTTTGGAAGCGATGATACAAGCATCACCATGATCGTTCAAGGTTAATTTTTAAATAATTGTATTTTTGCTTTTTATATATGAAGCGTTGATTAACTAATGATTATTACAGAGGTTCCCGAAGTACCCTATGCTCTTAAAGTATTGGACAAATCCGGACGTTCGGTTCAACTATCCTGGGCAGCACCATACGACGGAAACAGCCACATCAAACGTTACGTCATCGAATACAAGATCAGCAAGGGCTCCTGGGATATTGATATTGACAGAGTACTCGTACCTGGATCGCAGCAGAACGTAGCCAGAGTTTTCAACCTGAAACCAGCCACCACTTATCATCTGAGAATCGTTGCCGAAAACGAAATTGGAGCGTCCCGTCCCTCTGACACCGTTACCATAATTACTGCCGAGGAAGCACCCACTGGACCACCAAACGCTGTTCGAGTTGATGCCGTTGACCAACATACTCTGAAGGTAATGCATTAAATGGTTAATTAGAAACAGGTGAGAACACTAAAATAATATAAATTTGAATAGGTTACATGGAAACCACCAACACGCGAAGACTGGAATGGCGAGATTCTTGGATACTACGTTGGCTACAAACTCTCCTCCTCTGACAAACCCTACACCTACGAGACTGTTGATTTCTCCATGGAAGACGGCAAGGAACACCATTTGCAGATCACAAACCTGAAGACTTACACCCAGTACAGCGTTGTTGTTCAAGCCTTTAACAAAGTTGGGTCAGGACCAATGAGCGACGAACGAAGACAGCACACTGCCGAAGGAGTACCTGAGGAACCGCCCCACGACACCACCTGCACCACCCTTACATCTCAAACAATCAGAGTTTCATGGATGTCGCCCCCACTCAGCGCTGCTAACGGAGTTATTACTGGATACAAAGTCAGTATGCGTTAGACATGCTGATTGGAAATTTCAGTGGAGTCTACTGTTGCTTTTTGTTGTAGGTTATTTATGGACCATCTGACACCTGGTATGATGAGAACACCAAGGATACCAAGATTACCCCCTCCAGTGAAACGATTTTGCACGGGCTGAAGAAGTACACCAATTACAGCATGCAGGTTCTGGCTTTCACTTCTGGCGGCGACGGCGTAAAATCTGCACCTATCCACTGCCAAACTGAACAAGATGGTATGTGACAGGTTCTGTAAATGTTCTAAAGATAATCGACAAACTTATTAATTATTAATTTTCAATTGCAGCCCCTGAAGCACCCGTTGCGATCAAAGCCCTGGTTATGTCTCCGGAATCGATCCTCGTCTCGTGGCGCCCACCAAGCCAGCCGAATGGAGTTATCGCCCAGTACACCGTTTACACCAAGGCAGAAAACGCTGAGGAACCGACTAGCCAGAAAGTATTGCCGAATCAATTGACTCACGAAGCTTCTAAATTGGACAAACAACGCAGATACAATTTCTGGGTAACCGCTAGCACGAACATTGGCGAGGGACAGGCTTCTAAGATTGTATCATTGGCACCAAGCGTTAGAGGTATATTTTTTATGTTCTTTACGCATTTCTTCAATAATATCCTTCATTATGATTCAATACTGTTAAACGACCATAAATTAAATTTCAGTACCGGCAAAGATCGCATCGTTCGATGATAAGTTCACGGCTACCTACAAAGAAGACGTGAAACTGCCCTGCCTTGCTGTTGGAGTACCTGCACCGGAAGTGGTATGGAAAGTACGTGGCGTTGTTCTCCAATCAAGTGACAGACTGCGACAATTGCCCGAAGGTTCTCTATTCATCAAAGAAGTTGACCGCACCGACGCCGGAGAATACTCTTGCTACGTTGAAAACTCGTATGGCCATGATACCGTCACCCACCAACTGGTTGTCCATGGTAAGATCAGTGACATCTACGCGTCGGTTTAATACTAATCCAGTAAAAGTACGATTGGTTGAAATTGTGAATATTACCGCAGCACCGCCTCACTCTCCAAAAGTCAGCCTCAGCGGTACAACGACTAACTCGCTGTCAATGAAACTCCAACCTCATCCGAACGACAATGCCCCGATTCATGGTTACACGATTCACTACAAACCCGAATTCGGTGACTGGGAAACCGCACAAATTAGCTCGACGGATCAGGAACATACACTGGAAAACTTGTGGTGCGGCTCGAGATATCAGATCTATGTCACTGCTTACAATGGGTATTTATCTCGCATCTCCGCATCGATTAACCTTTTGCACTCGAGAGACGACTCTCAGTCGTTATTTAATTTAATGCAACAAAATTATACAATTTAATATTTTATATTAAGTTTTGCAATAATGCACCAATACGTGAAATATTGCAATAAAATAAGTTTGTTCCTTAATTTATGTGTGATTTCTCGTTAAGTAAGTTTCAAAAAATGCCCCCTATATTTCATCAGAAAATATTGAACATTTCTAGTGGAAAGCTTTCAACTGCAAAGGGTTAAACACTTCTTCAAGTTTATTTTAACCAAATTAAAATTCAGGTCCCCAATATTTTTATAGAATTGGCACTGGCGACCCATCCGACATGTTGAACACTCGCACCAAAGGCTCGAAACCGATCATTCCCGAAGCGATTAGATTTATTGAAGTATCCACGAACAGCATTACCCTTCACTTGAGCGCATGGTCTGATGGTGGCTGCCCGATGCTATATTTCGTAGTTGAAGACAAGAAAAGGTAAGAGAAAACCGTCCACTGTGCGGAGGTGGAAAGAAGATGAATAAAAGAAATGGGAGTCTAATTGGTCGAAATGGAGGGGACAGGTCCTCTGTTGCAAATACTTTCGGTTTTGATATTCTATTTCTGAAAATGGTCACAGATTAATCCGATCGTGTGACGACAAAAATCAACAAAACTCAGAGCAAAATCTCTCTTGCCACTGTATGGTTCCGTCAGGCTTCTTTCCAGTTTTGCACGGTACAGAGTATCGAATTCAACGAGAAATTAATCGTAATCGGTTGATACAATCTAGACACCAGCAGGAATGGAATCAGGTCTCGAATAATGTAAAACCCGGTGGCAATTTCGTCGTTTTGGATTTGGACCCTGCTACCTGGTATAATTTGCGAGTGACTGCCCACAATAACGCTGGTTTCGCCGTTGCTGAATACGATTTCGCTACTCTGACCGTAACCGGAGGTAAGTATGGCGGAGGTTGCGAGAGCTTCGGCACTCGTAGCCGGTGCTAATGGTGGCTGGATTCTATGGTCGCCCTGTTTTTTGTTCCAGGCACCATTGCACCGGCCCGCGACATGAACGGTGGTGGCAACGAAGAAGATCCAATAAAAATTTTCAAAGCAAACATATATCTGGTAGTACCCGTGGTAACAGCTATTGTTGTTATAATCGTTGCCGTCATCGTGATCTGTGTTCTCAGAGGAAAGGGCCATGGTAGCGATAAAGGTAACTCAAAGATCTCTTTTTACTGTTTTAACGTACAGGTACGATCGCACCCCCCGTACGCAACGGAGGTAACGACAACACGGACGTCAGACGTTATTTCCCCTGGTTACCGAGTTGGCTTGACGTAAACGTGGTGGTGCCGGTCGGAGCTACGGTTGTAGTGATTATTGTAGGCATTATGGTGATTTGCGTCGCACTGTCGAGAAGAACTCGAGGTCCGGAACAAACGCGGCTGCGAGGTATCTCATCAGCCGACGAGAAATATTACGAGGGACAATGTATACCAACCTTTTTTTTATTTTTTTAACTTGCTAAGTCATTGAACTGTTGGATGATTATCAGTAAGATAATTTCTCTATGTGGAATAAGAAAACGGTTCGCCGGATAATTCCCGCTTGGATAACATTTTAGATGTTATTTTTCTGATGATCGATCCAGAAGTTCGCCGTCCTACACACGGAAAAGAAATCACTCCGCTGATTTTCCCGTCGTAGGTGTCGGCGGACTAAGAAATCAAGTACCGAATGTGCATTCGTTAATTCATGGACTGACGGTATGTCCGAATCGATACCTTTCAGATGACGTGGTCTATCAGCAAACCGGTGTTGGCGGAGCTACTCTTGACAAACGCAGGCCCGATCTTCGTGATGAACTCGGCTACATCGCACCCCCGAACCGCAAACTCCCACCCGTACCCGGATCCAACTATAACACATGCGATCGCATCAAGCGAGGTACAGTAATAAGTAAGCCACAACTGCCAACAATATGATTTCTAGCTAAATTCCAGTTAATTGTCTAGATGTTGTCGCATCGGCACGATAGTCTTACCGTTTTTTAATTTAACGTGACACGTTATCCGGTCGCACAAGAAACACGTTAGCCTTCACCATTACCAGACAGTCTCGAAATCGATTTCGAACAACACACAAACAGGGGGTAGAATAGATATAAGAATCTTTATAACACCGAAAATGGGTCTCGCCAATTTTCACGTGAAAGGTCGATATATTTCTTCTACCTTCCACACACCCAGAACACCATACCCACACGCGTTGAATATAGACATTGCCAGTTCTGTTTCATTGTTTGCCTCGCTTTAAAATATTTTTTCTCCATATAAGTACCGAGATTGTATGCCCCACGAAGACAGTTATTCTCCCTGATTTGCGCTTAAACACAAACTGCTGCGCGTGCCAAGTGTCAAGTGCGTTTACCGTGACCGTCGGTGACCTAAAGTATCCCACAAGCGAACGATACAATCACTCGAATTGGCAGCGAGCCAAACCCCGAATCTTGGTAAGCGTTAGCCAGTCGTACCACCTTTGTAGTATATGTTCGATAGGTGGAACAGGTTCGATAAGGAGTCACTCGACGTGGGATCCGAGGCGACATATGTACGAGGAGTTGAATCATTACCCGCCGAACCGAAGATGTCCACCGCCGCCGCGTATGGGCAGTGCCGAGGCTCTATCCCACAGAGGTTGGTAAAAGTAGTTAAAGACCCGAACGAAGCGATCTTACCCCTTCGAAGACGAAAACTTCAAGTTTATCGCGTGACTGCAAATACTATACCGTGGCCGGTGCAGCTGTTGCGGTCGGTCTTCGTAAGTCCTCTTCGTTCCACGATTCTCGCCTTTATGGTGACCCGAAACCCTCTTCGTGTTGCACGTCCTCGCATGCTTGCGCTGGTACCCGTTTATTTCGCAAACAGAAAACACGTTGCACTCATATAGGAAACACCTCCTTCGATTCATTCCACTTTTTCTCTGAGATCTGGAGACTAGGCCAACTATCCACTCGTGTCTCGAATGTATCACTGATACTTAACAGTAGAACTACCGAACATTTAATACGATTGATATGTAATCCCTATAAAAATTGTAATAATAGATTATTTTCAGTTTCTTCAGACATTCATTATAGTATTTAAGTGAAACTGTTTACTTTTAAAATCATTTCGAATATTCAATGCTTTGAAGATATTAATATTTGTGAAACAAAACAACCGAAACAAGTCATTTTGATTGGTATGGTAGTTCTGGTGTTAAATTAGAGTTGATTCATCTTCGGTTTCGAAGTGTCTTTGATATCCTTTTGTGATCGATCGAAGGTTGCGAGGGGATGTTAATGGACTTGTGCTCTTGTAATCGTGAAACTAACGTGCATGACAATTTTCCATGAATGTTTCTCCTTAAGCAGAAAGAAAGAGAGAGAGAAGAGGAAAACATAGGAATGTATAATAAGTAGGTATTATGATTATAGTGATAGTTGTAACTGCATGCGTTTTATACACCCGCTCGGATTGTCTCGTGTTTCAGAGGCGTTTTGTCAGAAAGGGACGACTGTTATGTCCCCGATTCATCGAGATGATCTCGTACAATGAATAGAGTAGTTTGATTCTGTCTAAAATGGCAGTATCTACCCTGAGTGATCATTTTTTTCAGGTATGGAGGATGAGATTTGCCCGTACGCCACTTTCCACCTTCTTGGATTCCGCGAGGAAATGGACCCCAGCAAGGCTATGCAATTCCAGACTTTCCCCCACCCTGGCAATGGACACTCTGGAACAATGGGACCACCTGTTGGCCATCCTACTAACATGTCTGCTCACAGCCGCTCTGGATCTCAATCTATGGTACCAGAAATAGTTTCTTACAAATATTATAATTGAGAATGTGTAATTCATTCGGTGGTGACTTTTAAATGTATAAAAGAAGTATTCAACAAAAATATTTAAAATATAATAACATGAATGTTTAAAGGAAAAAGAGGATACACGAAAGTTAAAAAGAAAATGTTCAACAATAAAAAGAAATATAAAAGCATAGAAGAAAAATTACATTAAAATAGGAAAGAGGAAAGGGTAATAAATATTAACATCGTGCAGATAGCTTTTAGAATTAAGGGAACTGACTGACTTTTTTCTGAAATAAGAGTTGTTAATAATAAATTAGATATAATTCTAAAGAATAGGTACATAATTTATCTTTAAACAATTGACAAAACTTTCAGCAATTCCTATAGGATTGGTGAGTTATTATTGAAAATTACAGATTTTCGTTTGAACAGTGCAAACAATCGCTTCGACAAAATTCAAAGATTTACCAGGCTCAAGGTAACGTCTACTATCTCGATATCTCCACGTTTGTTTCAGCCACGTCAAAACGGACGCTATTCTCGTGTACCATCCCAAGGAGGCGGCAGCGGAACCCACAACGTTTTCTCTCCTGAATACGATGACCCGGCAAATTGCGCACCAGAAGAAGACCAATACGGACAATATGGCGCACCCTATGACCATTACGGATCTCGTGGCTCTGTCGGACGTCGCAGCGTAGGATCGGCCCGCAACATTCCCGTCTCTGGATCACCGGAACCACCCCCACCACCACCAAGGAACCACGACCAAAACAACTCGAGCTTTAACGACAGCAAGGAGAGCAACGAAATCAGCGAGGCAGAGTGTGATCGCGACCAACTCGTGAACCGCAACTACGGCGGTCAGTACAGAGAACCGTGATCGAGTGGGGTGCGAGAGGGTTGAACGACGAGGCGGATCGAAGTTGACGACGCGAACCGGATAGATTTTCGATACGTCTTTTCTGTTCGCGTTGATCCTCGTTGATTGTGACCCGTTCTGTTCGCTCTCGATCGCCTCTCCCGTTGCTCGTTCCTATTGCAGTAGGCGAATAGGCATGCCGAGCGAGTCACATCGTACAAGAATGAACGGGACTCGCTCCGGAGTCTGTGTACCTAATCGTTAGCTTCCACGAATTGCATGCTACGTGTCGTCATAGTAGTTTACCGTTGTGTCAATCGTGCCGTGTGTTTTTCTATTTCAGTGAATGCTCGCGGCAAGGACGGCATGACCACCGAGGAGATGCGTAAACTCATAGAGAGGTCAGTAGAGATCGAGTGAGTTTGGTTAACGGTGTACGGTTCGCCGAGAACCGTCCCACCGTTCCTGCCGCTGTGTCTCGAGAGATTTCTTTGCCTCGAGAACCTGTCATTGACTTTCTCGATAGTAAATTGGCCGACTCTCCGTTTCAGTCGCTTTGACTCTCGCTATTCATGATAGTTCTCGATTACTCTGCAATTTTTTTCTAGATCTATTCTTCGGGTAAATCGCACTGTCCATTGATATTTAATATGTAATACTTGTTAGGCGATTTTTCTTGAGTTTTTCGTATTTTTGAATGTGAAAGCAAATATACTTTATTATCTTTAGCTTTTGGGAAATTTTGAGAGGAATACATTTTCATGTTTAAAAATTGTTTGTGTGTTAACTGTAGAAGCTGTTTAAATATTTATTGCTGGAAGTATAATAAAATGATAGTACGTATCTTTGTAACATTATTCATATTTAAATATGTTTAAGAAACTATTAAAACAGTTGGGACTTTTTTCGCGCGGAAAATGATTTACTTTATTGTATAATGTAGTTAGTTTAAGTTAATCTATATAGAATCACTTTTTACAGAAACTATTTATATAACATTTATAATCGACTTTTAAATAATTTTTAAATTCAGAAGTTTGTATTTTGATACGAAATTCTCAATTTCCCAAAAACTGAGGATGATAGGGATAATCAATTGTCAGATTTAGAATATGAAAACCTACAAGAAACGTCTACCGAAGGTTGGAATACGTAAAAAAGCATTATTTGGGCAGTGTTATTTTAGCTTATTTATTGTTGGTATTTAGAATCTATTGAATTGGATTCGATTACGTGCATACAGTCGTGGGTATATCTGAAAACAATAGTGGTGATCGAGTGCACGGTGGTTCCACTAAAAATTCTTGAACGACTTTCCGACAATCTGTCTAACGTATCTCTGACTTTTTCTTGTTTCATGACTCTTTACGCAGGAAGCCGTAAGTTCGTTAGATAATAATAAATATCTACAAACGCAGGGTGCACTCCCGCAATCGACAGTCGCGTTAGAAATGATTTTGAGAAGCTTTAGAAGCTGCGTTTAACTCTGTTCTTAGTTAGTTATTTGTGGCCACGAGAATAGGTCAGTCAATGCTTCGACAGCGAACCGCTTCCGTACCAACGAGATCTCTACCTGGGTCGATAATACGCTTATTTAATCACGATGTGTTTTGCATGCGATTATGGTGATAACCGCTATATATGTGATATCCATTGTTTGATCACTAATACTTTACTAGATGACGTCGACGGTATACTCGAACGACATCAAGTATGCTCCCGCCGCAATCCCTGTTACTGCTACAGATCCTGCCGCCATTGCCGCTGGTGCTACTAACCATTATCCACCGCTACAACAAAAGAGAAAACAAAAAATAAAGATAGTTGTTGTTGTATTCATTAACGCTACCCTTGGTCTTATTAATATGTTCGCGAGCGCCGTTAGTTGCATGCCTCGCTGTATCTAGCGCAGGGTACTTTAGTTGCTGTTGTTCAGATTCAATGCAGTTGTTCGCCGAGAAACGCGAGAGCGTCTGCACGTGGATAGTGTTGGAATGACTCCGATGTGACAGAGAAGAAGAGAGAAAAAGGTGTCTCGGGGAGAATTAAAAATCTGAACTGCCTGTTGCAGAAACGAAGCCCCCGGTCGGCAAGCCAGCGCCAGCCACGGCGGTCACGGGGGACTCCTCACACCCTACGATACTGTGGCAGTGTAATCTGTAAATCATCTTCCGTGGTTTTCCGTCTCTCTCGTCGCCAGCAGCCGAAGACTCGAGAGAAGCGGAACAAATGCACACGTTAACTCTTCCCCCCGTGTTGTCGTCGGTCCAATTTACAACAATTTAAAATTTGAATCAGCCGTATCGTCGCGAGTCCGATAGATTTCAGGTCCATGTCGCGTAAAGACGGGACGCTTCGTCGGAACGGTGCCGCGCCGAGAGATCGACGTCACTGATCGACGACGATACCCGCTCCTCGATGGGACCGTATTCGTTCTTCGTCCGCGACCATATCGTTTACACCGGTTCTTGGCCTTTCACTTCTTTCGATCTCGCGTTTTTTCTCAATCGTTCAAATCGCTCATTTCTCGTTGCTCAATCGTCAACCGGGCCAGATGACGAAAACTGCCAAATTGATTGACTGCCGAACTGGACGAAGAGGGAGGGAACATTTTATTAGCGGGACGTGGTACCGTGTCGATGGCACGCGATAAGATCCGACGTTGATCTTTCGTGCGCATAGAAGATCTTGGGATAACGAACAGACCCGGCATATTCGTGGACGTTGAAACGTGTGATGGAACGTTCGGTTCGCGATACGTGCTCTTAGGACGACGAATTTTACATTCACACGATCACACACTTCCATAATTACAAATACGAACACACACGTACATACATTCATACGTAGCTACATACATATATACACAGATGCACACACTCGGGGGTTTTCGCGAGACGTCCTAGGTTACGATTGTCGCTTCCAAGCGCCACGAGTCACGGGAATTAAACATGAAAATAATAATATATTAGTTACTCGCTTTTTTAAGTCATGGTTGTGCCACACTGCCACACCCCGCAGGCATATGATATTATACATACATACGTATATAATGATATTATACATATATAATACGATTTATAATTTCGTAACGAAGGTTGTGTCCCCCTCTTTCGGTGATCGACGATCTTGAGTCTCGACGTCGCGGAGAGAGCAGGTTCTGGTAGCGCTGTTAGTCGCGACAGTGTTGCAGAGAGTGCGTCGTCGTTGTCGTCGTCGTAGCAGTAGTTAGGGAACACGCAAGATCGCATCGATGCCGTGGTGGTCACCACCGTGATGGCTTCTTCCGTCGCGCGAGTCGGAATAACGAAAATCTCGCGAATCACCAATCCGTAGGAAGAACGCGGCACACTGTTTCACGAACATTGGTAAAACATACGCTGCAACGAGAATTTCAACTTTCTCTGTTAAACACGTATACATCCGAAAAAGGACACCACAATGAGCTGCGAGAAATTAACAAATACACGCAAGCACTCACACTCACCACGCTCGTTGTCGATTTCTAATTGTCCTATATAATATTTAGTCCGCTGTACACACACATATATTCCCGCAAGCTAATCTCGATCAATTAACGTGAATTTAACGATAATGCGACAATGATATAATGTATAAGCAATTCGAGCAACAAGTACCGATTTAAACGTAAGTAGCTCTTAAGTCGGACGGATATGGTCGCGAGGTGCGCCGTTTCCCTTTCGTTGAACGGCGACGCGTCGAGCTCTTCGGAAGTCGAAAGAAAATAGAATCACGTAGCGCGTTTCGGCGAACACAAACGAGTAGGAGACGATAAGTAGCGAGAAATAATCGAACAATTAACCTCGATTAGAAACCGATCCTTCGCATTCGCTCGACGCGTGGCGCCCGGATACGGTTGTGGCGCGTGTCTCATAGTTCGTTTTTATGACATCACTATTTAGATATATACAAATATATATAAATATATATATGTATACATTGTCGTTCATACACATACGTTGTAAGTAGATATGTCTAGGTGTCGCATTTATTTGCCGAGGCGATGCACGAGTGGTACACCAGTCGCGGGCGTCGCGGCCGAAGAAATGTCGCGTTGTGGACGACGCGGCAGTGCCGGGGTGCTTTGGCCGTGAACGCAGAGATTCTCTTTGATCCTTTTCTCCGTTCAGTCGAGGAAATTATTGAACCCTCGCCATTCGTATCGCTGGCTATGGCTCGGCTCGCCGACGCACTTTTTACTCATCGATGTGATTTTAAAGGCTGCGCAAAGTCTCGTGTCTCGTGTATGTGTTACGATCGCGCTCTACCACTTTTAAATGTAGCCATATCCAAGTCACCTTTTACTATGCAATATCACGTTTTAACTCACGCGTGACACACGCGGAGCTTTTCGCTTCTGAAGCTTTTGGGAATTTTGCGCGATAAAAAATGGAAATGAAAAGAAAATACGTATGAAAAGAATGAAATCGATAAATGTATAACTTATTCGGTATTAACTGTGCGTTCGACTGTCCCGTAGCGTGCACGCGACAGTCGACGAAATTTAATCTGCAAAACGATATAAGACGAAATGAAACGTGATGTCCGCGGTATGTCGCATAGCTTTCTTCTATTTATCCATTTCTCTGGGGTGCAGTCACCCCAAAAAGGACTATCTTCGTTATGGTTTGTGTGATCGATCTGGAATCGTTTTACTTCGCCAAGGGTTTTAACGTTACTTTTTCTTTGACGATGCTGTGAACAAAACGGTCGGTGCCGCCGTCCGCGTTATATATTATACATGTATACATATTATGCTTTAATCCCGATTGGAAAAATAATGGATGTTCGTTTTTTTTCGTGCAACAAGCGGGGCGGTTCTTCGAGCTTCACCTTCGGCGGGGCGCGTATCGTTCTCTGTTTCGGTTGCAAGCAGACTCGAGACGTTACGTCTATTTGTACTCTTCTGTTGCGCTCTGCGCTCGCCTTTAAATTGGCCGTAAGTTCACGTTCACGTACAACGATACTCGTATATCTCCGCGTTCGTAGGGACTCGAGGATCCGCTCGCGAAGTACACCGTTTCCTCAGTACCACTGTTTTATGTTTTTGTACCAAAGTCGTAGCGTCTAACTTTACGTTAAATAAACAAAACCAAAAAAAAAACATAATGTTTCTTTACTTTTTTCTGTGAAACATCTAAACGGTTATCTACGATGTTACGTGCTGGTCAGTTTCTTAAATGATTTAATAAATCCCGAGAATAATGTCTTTGGTGTGGTCAGTATGATACTACAATTTGTGGAAGCTATTTTAACGATATTACAAAAAGAGCGCGTTCCGCGTTCCCTTGTTTACGAGCATTAAAGGATTTTCGCGGTAGATAAATGTCGGGTTCCGCGCGTTTGGTAATATTTGAATAGTGCTCGTGCAGTGATAAGTCTTCGTAGTTGGTAGTATCATTTGTTTGCACGATGGCGTCCGGCGGTGGTAGGTATCCGTTTATTTTGCTTTTTATAGCTTAATAGGTACCGTTCAGCGATACGTTTCGAAAGAGAACTCGTTACATTGCTGATGCTAATTAATCTGTTGATCTCTCAACGACAGAAAATACGACGGAGGAAAGAACCGAGCCATCAACGCCCGCACAACCCCTCACCAATGTCGTGAGCGAAACAGCGCAAGTGAGTCGAATAACCTATAAATCCATACGTAACCCTACATATTTATTTTATTCTAATTTACCTATATTTTGAATGTATCAATAAACATCGGTAGAATTCTATCATTATTATAGTACAAAATTGATATTATTAATTGAAATTTATATGCATGTTTGTTTAAAATAATTTCAACATTTCTCGCCAGTCAAATAAACAGCTGTTATGTTAAAATTTAAGTTTGTTTTTGTTGACTTGTTATATATGCATTATTTGTTTGGTTCAGGTAAATAATTTTATTTAAGTTTGTGTTTATTTAGCTTCCTTAGCTTTTAAAACTTAATGAGCAATATTGAAAGAGACTATACATAAAGGTGTTAAAGGTAAATAATGTTTAATAATTGTATTTTTTTTTTTATTGTTTCAGAGGATACTAGCAATGAATAAGGATTCTGATTTGACTGGTGTAGCACCAAAGAAGTCGCGCGTCGAAGTGCAATCTTTACCAACCAGGCAATATTTAGACCAAACGGTAGTACCAATCTTGCTACAAGCACTGTCCAGTTTAGCGAAGGAAAGACCTGCTGATCCCATTAGCTTTCTAGCTGGTTACTTGCTAAGGAACAAGAGCCAATATGACAATGGTGAATCTCCGCCAACTAGTTAATGAACTGCCTCAACATTTATAAGTATGCGGTGAACGTCAAGGAATCAATTTCAAACATTTACCGACTATTTCTAGGAAAATATTCAAGTTTGGCAAGGCGTATTTGTGTAATTTCAAATTACGTAAAAATGTACTAGCTTATCTTGTGACCCATTTTAGAGGTTAACTAACAAACTTAGAGCAAATGTATTGAGTTTTCTTAAATGTTCATTTATATGCTTGTTTGATTTTTATTCATTGATAATGTGCGGAAATTATTGTTCTTGTTAATGTGTTCAATATTTATCATGACCAATCTATAAAATAATCCCCCCGGCGAAAACCTTTGCATCAAGTTATTCCCGTGAAACAGCGCCAACTATTTGTACATCCAACCGCGAAAAACGAAAACGATCGTTATTGTTATCACCGGTTCAATAAATCGTAATGAGTTCTCCGTGTTCGCGATGATTTTAATTGGAATGGAGATTTAATTGGACACAATTAAATGTAATTGTCCAATGAATCCGTGCGAAATTTATTTTACGGTCCGATGATGTCAGCGATTTGCACGGAAAACTTAATGTCCAAACACGTATATTTTAAAATTTGTTTAGAATCGCGAAGGTTATGATGGGTGTAAATTTTAGCGCGCTGCGGGATAATCGTGACCGGATGTAAGTTTGGTTGCTGGTTCGTTTCCTGCAGTGTCTCGTGTTAATGGTTTAACTGTCGCAACAAGGTCGTAACGAACCAGAAGAAAGAAAATTCGCGTGGACACAGATAACGCCGTACAAAACGACGACAACGACGAGATATCGAGGTAATTTCGTGGTGAACAATTCGCGCGGCAACATCATCGTACCAAGTCCAATTAACGAGGTGGGATACTATCCGAGTTTCCCGTATATCACCTCGGTTCCTTGATACCATTGCACTGTGCATTCACCAGGCTCCCGCAGTTGGTTTTATTTTCCACCTGGACTACCGGGTTTAAGACAGACCTTCCGAAGTAAATAAAGAAATATCATTTTTTAATTTCATTAAATGAAAACTCCGTGCGACAGTAAACATTGTCCCATTAAACAAATTGGCGGATGGGTTGACAGATGGCTCCACGGTATTTTTTTAAGGACATTATTTACATAAGCGAAATTGGAAAGTAATATTTTTAAGTAAAGGACACACGCAAAACTTACGAGTTGGGTGCGTCGAATTTATACCTTATGTTCGAATTTTATGATCATTGTAAGCGATGATCAATAATATCAAATTGAATTTACATGAAAATCTAGTGTTGTCTAGAAATTAAATCCTTGAGATATGTGAATGTAAACAACCGCATAATATTTTTCTTCTCAGTCTTTTGTATTCGATTTTCAATCTGCAGAACGATATACCATGTTTGTCGTTTATACAAAAGAATTATATAAAAATAAATTTATACTAAGATACAATCGTGTCTAGAGTTTACATTTTTAATATAAGTAGCTAATGTATTTACACTTTTAATGTAAGTAGGTAATTATAGTGTCACAAGGAAGTATGCATAATCTGATCGATTGTGGTATTCTATTAAGAAATTATTAAATAACATAAGAAATAATTCTGTTTTTATAAATCTGGAGAGTGCACGCCTATAAACTTATTTCTTGAAACAACAATTTGTCGTTACTATCAACGCCGGCAGTAATACATCTATCTTATTCGTATATCCTATGAAATCAGAATTTTATATCCTTAACCTTATACGACAATTTTCTCGAATTATTTTGAATATATTTTGAAATCGATGCGTAACAGCTTACCAGGAAGCGTGCTCTAGACGATACAATGCATAAAGAAGCGAAGTGAAGTAAAGCGAAGCTATAGTTAATGGCTAAATCGTGTCACGGGTTTCGTCGTGTGCGCACAATCTGTAGATTCACGCCCGCACGGCCACATGGCGCCTCGGTTCAATTGGCACGCATATTGGAATTCTATTAGCGAGATTACCGACAGTAATTGCTCGGTTTGGCGCAATATCGCACGCTCGTCTGTACCTAGCCAACAGGCTAGCGAGCGTCAAACGCGGATTAAGCGCGCATCTTGCGTCGCGGATCAAGTAAGCCGCCTGTATTATACTATGATCGTAGTAGTTACGGCTGGTACCTTAGCTATCGCCTCAGTATGGTAACATGGGGATACAGGAGGAACATGGAACGTTCGACAGAATTTGAATAACTTATTCAACACGCCGTCGAAAGAAGAACGCAACGCGCGATCGCGCTTATCATTTATTTTACTGAAATTCCGATGAATCCAGTTTGCACCGTTATTGATCAATTTTCATGTTATTTTTAACAAGTGCGTTCAATTTCGAATATGTATACGAACTCTCAATGAAATGCAATAGAAATTGATGATGATATTTATATAAATCGAAATTTTACATTTCATTTCCTCGCAAATTTGTTGCCGTCCGTTCAAATGGCTTCCGTTGATTTATAAGTTCGCAGATGTACTCGCAGCTGTTGAAAGTTTCACCATATGAGAAATTACTTCAAACGACGAATATTTTTCGTGAAAGTAGTTGTGTATAAAATTTTCTTCGAAATTGTCGTATCGCGGTGATCAATAAGCTTCGCCAATTCTTTTTTAAACCACGCGGTACATCATGAATCGTGAATTTGAATATGCACAAGTTACATTAGTAGCAGCGAGTTGCGTCAAAGGATCGAGGCGTTCGGGTTGAAATTACCCGGGCCACTTGGGCGAGCGTTACTCTCTCGCGCGAGACTTCCTCTGTGAAAATTTAATCGAAAGTTCCTACAGTTAGGAAATGAAAGTCGAAGGTAGATACGAGCAGAAAAAAAACGAAGAGAGATGGAGAAACACGACGAATAACGCGTTTCGCTGGAAAAGAAGCGAAACTTGTAAGTTTGCCGATATCGAAGGGTGGGAAACGATTTACAGGTCGTAAGAGCATAGGACTTCCAAGTTGAGGGCGCACTTCCTTTTTTCCCTTTTTTTCGACATTCCTGTCCTCGAGCCAGGGCACCGGATTATATAAAAATTTTCTCCATAACTGGAAACTCTGTCGCTGCCCTCCGCTTCGCGTTTTCTCTGTGTCGGAGTTAGGGAAAAAACGCTTACCGGGCAGATTCGCGCGAGCTAAAGCCCTCTTTCCTCTCGTATTTTTTACCAAGCTAGAATTCTATCTGATAGCGGAATACTTTTTTCCTCCGTTTTTTCACGAACCGCACCCCGTCCTTCTCCCGCTCCTTTTTTCCTGCAATTTTTTCGTTGTTCCTTCTATCCCGCCCGAAAAAGATGATACGCGACCGCTCAGACTGAAACAATAAATACCGGTTTCGCCGCAGTTGCGCTTATTAAGCATAATGTCCGGCTTTGGAATAACGGGTTCCGCTGTAAAATGAAATCTTTAATCGAGTATCAAGGCGTTCGCGGCTTGCAAATTGAAAGTCCTCGATCCGAGCTTGCCCACGAGCCAGACGTCGGACCTGAAAATGAATATTCGTAATTCGCTCGCATTGTTGTTGGACGTTTTAATCAGCCTGACGGAATGCTTGAAATCCGTGAAGGAGCGTGTACAACGACGCTACCCCTTCTTCAACCCGTTCTCTGCACCCCTTGCCCACCCACTTTCTCTGCCTCTATCCCTTTCCCTCTTTCTGGCTCTCTTTCTCTGTTCTTCTCGCTGAATTATCTTGCGGTTCCTCGCTCGCGGGGCCACAGATTTTCATTTCAGATCTGGCTCCAGCACAGTGCAGAGGAGAAAATAGAAGTCGCTTCCCGTTGATTTCAATCTGTTTGACAGCGTTCTCCTCGCTCCTTCTCGCTTCCCGAGAGCGTCGCATTGCCCGACGTTGGTGTACCGTGCCGCTACCCGAAGACAACGAGACAAGATCCGCGACGCGGGCATCCGTTATCGTACCGTGGCATCTTGCCGGCTATTTGCTGTTCTCCTTTCTTATTCCCCGCTCGAGCGTGCACTTCGGACTTATTGGTCCTGCGGAGATCGTTACTCGAAGGACGTTTGATGCGCAATTACGCGAAACTTCGTCGACCAGTCCTTTGCAAACTCGGGAAAAGATGTAGACGTCCGATTCCTTTTCCACGAAAATCTTGTTTTCTCCTCCCTCTACGTCTCCTTCTCCTCCTTTTTCTTCTGCTTCTCACCGAGTGAATTCAGAGCATTCGCGGCTGAATATCCCGTCGCTTTGGAATCCTTTTATCACGGCGCCCGAGGAAACATAAACTGGGATTCTTGAGCAGTTTCTACGTCCTAATCCCGTACGCCGAATTTGCAAGGATCTCGGAATAATTCCGAGGAGGGTGAAAGTTTTCCCAAAACGGGGAACAATATAATGCCAAAACACGAAAATACTTGGGCGCGAAGGGGCCACGGAGACAGATAAGGTGCGCGCGGAACTTCCACTTTGTAGAAACTCCGTTTCAACATTTTCACTTCGTATCAGCCGAAAGAATATCGAGGAATGGAGACCGTGCGTCGTTTTACATTTTCTTTTCGACTTTAACATTTTGTCAAGATTAAACCCGCTCCTCCTTTTTCTTCGTGCGATCTGGCTCGCCGGGCTGGAAGGATATACCGATATCGGTATTATTCGGAGCTACCTCGATATTATCAACGAACATTTTGTGCAAGAGCAATACATTCCCGTGGAAGGGGTTTAATGCGCAGATCCACTCCTCCGGGTTTCAGGTTTCTATCGCAGCTGGACGTGGAATCGACTCTATCCCCGCTCGTCGTTCCTTCGTCTTCCCTCCGCCGGCAGGTAAGCGTCCTCTGAAAACCGTTTAATCCGCTGACGAGTTTAACCCTTTGCACTCGTTTGTCGAGTGTGACTCGACACCAATTCTATTCACGTACTTCTATATCAAGTTATGCTTGACAGTTTTAAATTGTACTTTTTCTATCTTCAATACGATTATTTGAAATATCATTTACGAGCAACTGTCCTTTGAAGCACATTTCAAATTGTAACACTTAATGCTATGAAACACATAATTTTATTGGAAAGGAAATATAGAGAAATGTAGAATACAAAAGGTTAAATTTCTATGTTTTGCGTTACGGTGAACGTTGATTTGCCAACTACACTACTTATAATTTCTTAATTATTATTTTATATTTCAATTCTTGAACGTTTCTAACGATAGATGCCAGTTGTCGTCCTTCACATCATACACAGTGGCGATGGAAGGTTCTTCCATAAATAATTGCATACCTCTTTTTTTTAAATTAAGATAAACAAAACTTTTTTGAACCTAATTATAATGTATAGATAGATAATCTATAGATAATTAAGGGCAATATATTTTAGGTAGTTACATTCTCATATATAGACCTACACCTCCATTAATAACAAGTTAATACGTATGTAAAAAACATGTATGTAAAAAAATGTCTACACCACACTGATATCTTTTATTTCGATCCATTTCATCTATCAACAATAAATATCCCTCTTGTTTCAAGAGTAGAATAACATAACTTTAGATCTACTCTTGACTGCATTCACACAAAAACACGCTCCCATCTTTGTAATTCTTTTTTACAATTAGATGTACGAAAGTGTATCGAAATCGAATTAAAACACATTGGCCATCTTACACCGTCCGTTTCCCGAGAACATTTCCGAGCTTCAATAATCAGATGTGTTTTGAACTCCGCTGATGAAACACTTCGAACTTTATAATCAAACTTCATCGAACTTCCGAACTCCGAACTACGGTATAGAAGCTTCTTCCGTGGAACTCCGCGTTCGGTGAAAATACCAATTACACGGTCGCGCCGTTAATTCCGTGGATAGTGGCGGCGGGTTCGCTCGGCTGTTTGACCTGCGAATTTTCCAAGGGTACTGAATATGCATATTTAAATATCTTATTTTCCATACACCTGGGAAGCAACTACGCAATCGGGTTTCGCTGCGCTTTCGTCATCGTTTACATTGTTCCCTCGGGAATCACGAGCTTACGGGAAGAAAGAAGAAAGGGTTGAAGGTCGAATGGAGATGGACGCGTGTTGAAGTGTATCCAGGAGAACGCGGATAGACCAACGGAATATGTTATTTCTCCGGGCTGTTATTTCGCGCCGCGGAATCCACGGACGTACACGGCACCGTGATAACGGAATCAGATAGCCACTGTGCCATCTCTTACCGCGGAATAATACCTTACGGGGATATAACTCACCACCGCTAGACCGATATTTTTGCAGGGGAGCTGTACGCATGAAGCCCCGCCGCATTCGGCCCTCTGCCTACCGTGACAGTTGAGCCCCGTGATGTCTTTCATTTCCACGGCAATACCTGTGATGACTTATTCTCGAAATTACCGGCTGTCGCGTAATAAAACGTTCCAGGGGGCTGTCGATCAGCCGATAGTACCCCCGCGCTCCGGCGATGGCGAAACATTGCTAGGGCGTGGGCGACACGAAAGTGGTTCCTCACGGCGATCGTGCTTCCTTCGTATTGTTTTCCACCATGTCCATCGCTTCGGAGCAATTATTGGGTCGATCCTTTCGGACTTCGCCGACCTAGGCTCAGTTATTCGATCGATATTGTACAGGACGTTTCAAATATCTAGTCACCGGTGTCGGTACCGTCCGTTGCACGAAAGTTTGCACTTTGGTGTCATTGATCAGTTTTCATCTTTTTTCAGCTCATTTTCAATACTAATT